CTTTTAGAATATGACCAAAACCTAATAATCTAGATTGATAATTTTCATCCTCATATCCATAAAATCGTTTTTTTTTCTCAAATATACAATAAGCACACCTGATTGGATACTTCAATGAAGTCAAATGAGGAAAAAGGGTAAGATTTGTGCACCCCCTTTTATTTCGAAAAAAGGTGTTGAATTCGGTGAGTTCTAATAGACTCACACCGAGTTCGTAAGAAACTCTCCGAGTTTGTTTATACTGAGGCAAGTTACACTAGTAACTCTCTTGAGTTTGTCTTCAATACTGCAGCAATCATCCTTTAGCCAAGTTATGGTGCTCCGTACATGGATTCTGCTGTTGATGTGACTGTAGTGATTGTCCCAATGGATAAGCAATCATCATTTACCCAAGTTATGGTGCTCCGTACATAGACGTTGCTGCTGTTGATGTGATTGTAGTGGTTGTCCCAATGGATAAGCATAGTCATATCCCTTAACTATATTGACAAGGTGATATACTTTTATATGAACAAAATTTGTTGGAATTATGGCCTTTACTCTTTTATTCAAAAAATCCAATTATTATGAGCATAAACATATTAGTTAACAATATCATGGTATTGATATGAAAAGAACCATGCATAGATATAAATATTATTAAGTCTTTAGCGGCTTAATTATTCTTAGTAGGAGTTTTAACAACTATTAGGTTTTTAGTGGCCTAATTATTTTTAATAGGAGTTTTAACAGTTAAGTGATAGCTTGTCAAAACTCCCAATGTCTTTTAAGGTGAATAAAGATAAGAGTTACAATTTGGATCTTAACTATACAAAATCCAAATTGTAACTCCTATTTGGATCTTAACTATACAAAATCCAAATTGTAAAAAAAATTCCTTTATATTTTGCTCTCTAATATAAAGAAATACAAAAATAAAAAGGGGAAAAAGGAAGCTCATACTTGCATGAAAGCCATGGATACTTTAGCCCAGTAACGTTAGCATGGAGTGCCTTTTGGACTTGGGGAAGATTCAGATACATTTCCACGTAGTAATCTGTGCAAGGATCAAATTCCTGCATACAACCACTCATTCATTAGTAGAGAAGACAGGGAATGGAGTTTCATAGACACTGTCGCGAGTGTTTAAGAGTCTATAATTGTTCAAGGTGTTTAGTACCTTGGTCTATTAGGGATAAACCCATCCACACAATTATAACTTATTTAATGAAATATAATATTTTATGGGATAGAACTTTCACTGAATATCAATTGACAATTGGATGAGGAATTTATATGATACCAGTAGGCATCCTCAAGTGTCGTTATATGTCGAAGTGTCGACACTTGATACCAACTAATAGAAATTGAGCACCAAATGAAAATTTAGTTTTCTACGTAGCCAGATGTTCTCAAATAGTGGCAAATTGTTGACATGTGTTGACATTTGAACACCAATCAAAGGACAAAGTGTCATAGTAATATTACTATAGAGCCATCAACCCTATGCAGAAAGGAAGTAATCACTGGGAAGAAAGAGAAGTAGAGAGAATTAATACCAGGTCACTTGCACAAGGCTTGTGCTTGCTGGTGGTGTTGCAGTTAGGGGCATAAATGTTGTAGATGTTAATGTCAAAAATGTCTGACTCCGCATGATCGAGGGTGTCGTCGCATGGTTTGGGTTGACTGGTGGTGTTAACTGAGAAATTACAATATTTATGGATGGCATTGATGGTCTCGTCCGAGAGGATCGCATGGCTCCACAAGTACTCGTACAATTCTAGGCGGTCAATCAGAGCGTCGATCCATGGGTTACCAATCTGCAATCACATATACACAACTCAGTCTATGTGTGCGAAAAGTCGGATAAGGAAATTGGATCTCACCGTGATGCCTTTGAGATTTATGATGGTTTTTGCAGCCATTTGATTGTGCCGAACTACTTGATAAGCGAGTTGCGGAACATAGTGCCCTGCATAGCTCTCTCCTGAGATGTAGAAATCCCTGTTTTTGTATTCTGAGAATCGTTCGAACCAATTTAGCATGAAAGTGTAAGCATCAAATGCCGTTTTCTCATCACCACTTTCTGAATTCTCCGAGGTGGCGTTGGAGTAAGAGAAGCCAGTGCCAGCCGGGGACTCCAAGAACAATAAATTTGCCACTGCACCCATGTATTTACAGCTTCAAATATAGATTACATGATCTTTTAATCTTCAATTCTAACTAAATTTGTATGGGGGTAGTTTGATTTACCATTTGAATTGAAACTATTGGAAATAGTACCAAACGTAAATGAATGATGCAAATTTCAATCGTCTCACATGCAAGGTTTCTAAAACCGTGCTCCCTCCAAAACTCTACTTGAGCCTAGAGCGATTTGACGAGTTTAGAGTGGACTCGTCTAGTTCCCTGAGTTGGCCCAAACGCTATGGAAAAGAGTAAAATTTATTAAACATAAATAAAAATAAAAATTTAAAAATAAATATTATTATCTCGAGTGTTAAAGTAAAAAATAAAATCCATTATATAAAAGAAGAAGTTTATATAAATATGAGACTCTAAACAATCAAATTAGGATGCACCTCAAAAATTTTACTAGAAGAGGTTATTTTGATACGCAAATATCCTCAAAAATTTTACTAGAAGAGGTTATTTTGATACACAAATATCCTCAAATTGATCATCTCGACCTCAAGATTCATGGACATTAAAAAAAATGGATTTCATAATTTGAAAATAGTGCATCTTGTATTACATTTTGGACTGTCAATTTTCAAGATTTTCAAATCTTCATAGATCTGCTCGATCTACACTATTTTTGAAGCTTTAAATTTTATAATTAAAGATGAAAATATATTTTGAAGCTATCACAAATATTTCCAGTATTGCAACCATATTTTTCCACACTATTTGAAAGTGTGTTTTACTGTAATTGTTTAGATCCTTGGCCTTATACACACCCCACCCTTATATAAATATAAATCTAAAAATAAAAGTTCAAGCAAAATTTTGAGTCCTATCCTCCAATCTTTGCAAATGGTGCAAATTCATGCTAGCAATGTTTGTCAGAGGGTACTTGAGCTCCCTAATCTAAATCCTCTAATCAGACTCAAGATTCAAGGTGAAACTTAATTATTTCGAGTTCTCGAAATTTTTGGGATAAATAATACTCTGGAATCCAAATCTCATAAATTCAATATTTTTATTGATCTTTTATGAGAAACAAGCCCATATTTCGATAACAAAACAAATTTTTGTCCCAGATCAAGCAATAATTGAGTAGCAATCACAA